GCCATGGAATGAAATAATTGGCTATTCAGTCAACAAATGTCAAATAATGAAATGGCTATGATTAATTTTTTTTCTTAACAATGATGGTTTGGTGAATTACAATAAAAAAAATTAGGAAATAAAAAAATTCTGGCCACGAAATAACTGACAATGCTGATCTAAGAGATTTATTTTAAAAAAGAAATAAAGATTATTCTTATCACCAAGCATAAGGAATTTTTATGATCTAATTTATTAGCATTCTGGTAGATGATAGAACATTTGTATAAAGCCATTTTCAAATGTTTTCGACATTCTTTAATTTTTGTGAAGATAAAAAGTAAGATGAAGATGGGAATTATACAAATTTCATTAGTCTAATCACATTTTAAAAACTTTAAAAAACAATAGAAGCGGTGTTCCACTTTCGTTTTACAAATAAACAGTCTGATAATAAAAAATATCTTGCAAGCAATATCAAATCTATGTACTATTAATATCTTTTTAATGGATTTCACATCCACTCAATCATTGGGTTTTGAGAGCTAGGCCTTCAACTGGATGCAAAGTATGTACAAGCAATCTGTACACAGCTTAGGAGGAGGCACATGCAACTCCACAAAGAGGTACATATATGTGTGCGTGTGTGAGGTTAGAAATACTAGTAAAATCCAGATCACAAGTACAAATGTAAATACCATTAGATTCTGTTAAGAGTCATATGCACTCTCCAATTCGGAGCAAAAACCATCTGAAAAAATAAATGTCAATTTTACTTGGTACAGCCTTAAAATGAAAGAATTCTGGATGTTAAACTTTGGTGTCGAAACCACCAGAAGCTGAAATAATATTCTATTCAATATCACTTTTTTCATTTAAGTTAATATCTGATTCAGATATTTAAATCATACAATAGAGTGTTTCTTGTATATTTTCGATACATCTACTTTAAGCTGCAATAAAATAATAAGTTTTATCTTGCAACCAATTCAATTTTAATCTGTCAAATTTCCTTGAATGCCTTTCACTCAAAATGTTCAACAAAACTTTGAATATTCTATGAACAAAGAAAGAAATATGGACTGTCTTCTCATTCAATATGCAAAAGTAACAAAGACTATCAGGCAAGAGCTTTTTAATATAGTAAAGTCTAACAAAACATTTGTTGAGGTCACCTGGGAAGTTTAATAAACAACAAATGAATGACAACATAAGAGAATCAAGTTCTATCACAGAGTTGTGCAAATAGAAAGTATAACTTTAATGTGCCTATGTATGTATAACAAAAAGGATAAGCCAGGAATATTTGGCTAGGCAACTAGAATATGGCTTAAAAATGTTCCAGATGTAAAACTAATGATAAACAAATTGTCTATACATATATTACACAGGTTGGAAATAACATAACACGGCATATGTGAAATATTAAAAATTGTAAAGTTCATTTTTATGAATAAAAAAAAATTCAAAAGAACATCTTTGGAAAAGTTAAACCAAGAATAAAAAACAACAAAGAATAAAAAAAGAAAAATTCTTAAAACGCATTTTAGTAATAATATTGTAAAAAGTGTTTAAAATAATTATATTTAACCTTGCATTAGTCACATAGAGTGTTATCCCAAAATTTTTTAAGTACTTGTAATACGTAGTTGACAATTGCTTCCTCTAACTACTTTCCTGATGTAGTGAAGATGTATAGCACATAGTATGGTGCAGTTGTAGCTCAGTTGTTATGGGAGGCAGACACCGGGAGGCTATCCATTTTCGGAAACCTGAGGTGACTAATGCAGGGTTAAGGGTAGGGATGTCTCTTTTAAACAGTTGGATAAAAAAAAAAATAATTGAAATTTTTAACAAAAATGAAACTTTATTATCATCATCATTATTATTTTAATAGTTTTTCTTCTCTTGAAAGAAAGATAAATCCTTAACGGTGCTAAATCTCTTCAATAAGTTTAAGTACACATAAAAATGCATATTATCACATTTTTAAAAATAAATTATAACATAAAAGAAAACTTTTATATGCTTAATTGAAACCTGAGCAATAAATTTACAAATATCATATTCACAATTATAAATTGGAAAAGCAATTGTAATTCTACTGAAATTTGGGGATGACAGATGAACACATGGAGGCACAATAAGAGACTTGATTTATTTAAGAGTCAAAAAATAAATATCAACATTATATATACATAATATTGAACAAGGCTTAATAAAAATGTAATCATTTTGTTAATTGTGACATGTGATGAATTCCATCCAAACAGTGCTAGCTTTTAGATGAAAAAAAAAAAAAAATCTTTTCACCTTAGAGCATAAATTATTTCAGGGTGTTGGATATATTAGTTACTCCTAAATATTCGAATGATCTGTGCCAATCAGTTACTCATGACTAACCAAAAAATAACTAAAGATCCCAGGATCAAGTTAGAGCAGCATGGATTTGGACTTATTTATTTGATACATCTTTTTTACAAATGAAGCTTAACTAAAATATTAATGAAAGGAGTTTGTTCTTAAGTGTTGGAAGGTTTTATCCTTTTATGTTTCCTTTTGTCAAAGTGTTTTCTTAACATTTTGTTATTAGAAACTGATTTATAAAGAAAAACTATATAAAAAAAAGTTCAATTATCCAAAAATAGCTGTAGTTAAAAATAACTTCAACTATTCATTCAACTATTGTGGGCTTAAAATGATAGTGAAGAAAATTAAAACTAAAATGTATAAAAGAAAGAAAAATTCGGCAAACTTGGACCTTCATGCCTGCAAAAAAAGCCCAAATAAAAAAAAATAAAGTGTTGAAAAAATGATTTTTTTCCATTTACACTGCTATTATTTTAAGTACCTTCAATCCTCTGCAATGTTTATTGTTTTAAAAAGTCAGGATTAGAATTGTAATAAAACTTAAACAGATGAAAGTGAATGTGTACATTTTCTTTGTGCTTGACAGTTGACAAAAAAAAAATAAACATTATTCATTGTTTATTTACACTATTTATTATATTGTTTATTGGAATGATTGGCTAGTTGCCAATTGATTCAAACATTATAAAATGGTAAATAATAAGGATTTCTTTGTAGTTGGTTCATACATTTTAATAATTTATTAAATTTTTATTAATTTATGAATAAAAAATTGTTTTCATATTTAATTCTTTATAAACTAGTACATGATAAATACTGAATTGCATTAGTTTTAAATGTATTAGTTTTTAAAAGGTTGAAAATATAAAATTATTCTTGTAAATAAACAATCTTATAAATAAATATTTTGTTGTAAAACCTAAAGAACAAAAAAAATATATAAATTCACTTTCATCACATGTTTAGGTTGGATTACAATTCTAATCATAGTTTTTTAAAACAATAATCATTGCTGAGGAGTGAAGGTAGTTAAAATAACAGTGGTGTCAAGGGAAAAACCATCCTTTTGACACTTTCTTTTTGCTGAAAATTCCTTTAATTTTTCTGACCCATCCAATTTAAAAGAAAGGTTCACTGATATTTGTTTGTCTAAAACTCTAGCAATATTTGTTTGTTTCATTGGTAATGCTTCAATTTAAAATTTCAATCAATAAAATGTAAATTTGTAATTGAAATTAACTGAATTCATAATACTTCATGTGACAAAGTATAAACTAAAATGTTTTTAGTACAAAACCAAAATTTTTCCGAGATGAGGATTTGTCATTATTATTTAAAGTGTTGTCCTCATCGTGATTGCTATATTCACCCTTCAGGCATTGTACTCTTTAGCCCTCTTTATCTGTTATATTTGGTTATGTTTCCAGAATTTTAAATTGAACCCTTGCATTCACTCCATAAGAGTAAACTGTCAATGCTAGGGGAGATAACTCGTATTAATTTATTATTCTGTTCGTGCTTTTTCAATTCAAAATTCTGACTTCACTGCATAAAGGTAGACAGTTTTCATTCCGTTGTAAATGTTAGGGGAGAGAACTCGTATTTAGTTAATTATTACATTCGTCTTTTTCAGTTACTGAATTCTAACAGGTAAGTGAAGAAGGCTCAAAGGTACAACAGCCGAAACATCGTAAAACAGTTCGAACATGAAAGGAATTTTGATACAATAGAAATTATTTTTCTTAAAAAGATAACATTTACAATTTTATCACAATTTAAATAAATATTTTTTATCAGTAGAAAGGAAGAAGCTATATTTTAGAAAGATGAATTTTATTTAAAAATTAAGATTTATAAATTTGCTTTACTATCTTCCTTGAAATAAATATCAGTCTTGTATCTTTTACAAGTTTTGAGAAATACAAACCTAATATCCATTTATTTGCTGTCTTCTGCTCGTCAATGTTGACAGCTTCAGGTTTGCAGTTAGTAAAACTGATTATACACTTCTATTCTAGAATTTTTCGTTGTTTGCATATCCATTGCACCTCAGATTGTCATATGGTCTTTAGCGAAAAGAGATGTGTAGGGGTTTATACAAATATAAGCAAAAAGCAACTTAATACATTAAAAAAGGAAAAAGAAAAAAATGAATATGATTAATTTATAGGAGATTCAAATTCTATTAATTAGAAAAACCGCAGTTTCGTAAGGGTATATAAACCCCCTTTTTATGATAAAACCGAAGATATTGCTTAGAAGATAAAAGTACTAATAACAGTTCTACTGATGTAGTTAGATTAAACACTGACTTTTGAATCAAACATAAAAAAGAAAAAAAAAATAACAAAGCCTGTTGTATCCGGACTAAGTGGACACAAAAATAGAAAGTCTTTCTGCAGCTATCAAAAATGGCTGACAGAATTAAATAAAAATAAAATCAGTTTGTTTTTGCTGGTATAAAGAGAACAAAGCATTTTTCTTTTGTTTAATTTGTGCAAAATTTTATATATGAACCGAGTGACTTAGCAGTTCAGAAAAGACACAAAAAGTTATAAGATGTGTCACCATCAAATTAACACTGCCAGTTACTGCTCCCATTGACAGAAAAGCAGTTGACCTTTCTAGAAGCACCAAGCATTTTCATTTTATTATTTTGATGATGTGGAATTGTCAACATCTTCTAATTCTGTAGGGTCCAAGAACTCAAAGTCATCTGCCAATTCTGTATCACTTTGTTCTAAATAATCTTCCAAGGACACAGAATTTCGTCCTTTTTTATTTTTAGGTTTTACAGTGGTGGTTTCGTACTCTGTTTTTTTCTGTGAAGACTTGCTTTTGTGAGATTTGCGTGGAGCATAACTGCTGCTGCCATCATTGTTGCTGTTGTCAGTATCTGATGATAATCCCTGGAATGCTGCCTTCATCATGGAGCCCATTGCCTGAGCCACTAGCTGCCCTGCAATATTTCGCTCAGACTCTATGTCATCTCTGCCTTTTGGAGTCACTTCTGAGAACTTGAGGTTATGTGTCAGGCCCTCATCATCAGAGTCAGAATCTTCAAAATGAGTCGGAACAAACTGCATTGAATCTGGTAACAATGATTTGCTATCTAGAAGTTCATCATCTGTGTGGTCATCAAAGGAAGGCATTTCTTCACCAAGGCCTTCGGCAAGATCTTGTTCCAAGTCACTCTCATGTCCTTCTAGAAAAAATAAAAATAAATTTTTTTAATAACAATTATGAAGAAAAAAAAGCAAAACTTCACAAATAATTATTGGAGTCTTATTTTTAGAGTAAGTAAATATCTGGGTGGTAGATAGCAAACTCTTCCAGCAGACAATTGATCTATTTGCTGGGTCTAGAATACATTGACTATATCCCCTTCAGAAGGGTACCCCACCCACACACCAAAATAGAAGCCAATTACTAAATAAATGCTTTCAGATTATTTACATTCAGACTATTAATGTCTTTATTTTTGATATTATATACTGTAAATAATGATAACTTCATTCCAGAAATGCTTACAGACTCATATATAAACAATGAAGATTTATCTCCAAACCAAAAAAAGACCTAAGAAAACTGATTTTGACATTAAATAAGCTAATGAAGGTTTTCAGAGTTTGGCATTAAATGACCCATACAAGTTGATATGTCATTAAACAAAAACAATCAATTGAACTGTGACCCTGATATCCAAATTGGGCTACGTTACAAGGTTATAGTGATCCAATTACTCTGCTAGTTACTCATAACTTTGGGGCAGGGCAAAGCAAATGCATACCCTAGGGCATTAGAGCAAAATGAAAGAAAAATGTTCTAGCCAGAGTTTGAACTCAGTTTACTAAATTCATTCTTCTTGCCATAAATAATTTACTCACATCTTAATTATAAATGTAGTATGATTTTCCAAACAATTCAATACAATGTAACCCAGATATAAGAGAGTTGTCGGGACCGGAGAAGAAGTCTCTTATATCCGGGTTTGGTCTAATTTATATACATTAACACAGGCTCTAATTTGGGACCAGAGAAAATCTCTCTTATATCCGGGTTTCTCTTATATCCGGGTTTGGTCTATTTTATATACATTAACACAGGCTCTAATTTGGGACCAGAGAAAATCTCTCTTATATCCGGGTTTCTCTTATATCCGGGTTTGGTCTATTTTATATACATTAACACAGGCTCTAATTTGGGACCAGAGAAAATCTCTCTTATATCCGGGTTTCTCTTATATCCAGGTTACACTGTATATGTAAAGAAACTATTTATTTTTTTTTTTTAAAACAAGATTGCAAAATTTTGAAAATAGTAAGACCAATGAAGATAAAAATAAAAGACATCACTCTACCATCTTCACTGTTTTCTATTGATTGATTCTCTGAGAGTGCAGGAGTTGAAGGTCCTGGAGTTTCTTCTCCTTCACTCTCTGATGCTGCTGCAGACAACATGGCCGTGTCTGTATCAGGACATAAGTCGTCCAAGTTGAGATCGTCAGATGTTCCATCTGCAGCCAAGACAATTCCTGGCTGATTATTTCCGCAGTCTCCTCGTATTGCTACAAGATGGAAAAGAACAAGATTACAGAAACTGAAAAAATACATTATTAGGCAGTGTTTGTTTTTCTTAATAGAATATTCTGAAATTTCCTTAAGAATAAATTGTGGAAGTGCTAGACAATTCCTAACTGGGAAATATCATATGCAGCCTAAGGTAAAAAAAAAAAAATGAATACTGGCCTGTACACTTGAGAAAACTAAGTTTTTTTTTCAACTGCACAGGCCAGTAGACATAATACACACTGTTTAAAAAAAAAAAAAAAAAAAAGGACATCAACTCAAATATGGCTATACACTAAAAAAATTGCTTTGTTTACATTTTGGACACAAAATCCAACCAAATATGGGCTTTGGAGAAAATCTGATCAAGAGGGATATGCATTCCCTAAAAAGGTAAATATAACTTTGCTAGATTGTGATGCTCCCTATGGCCAACAGGTCTAAAGCATGCCAGATCAAATGGTGGCTACAGAGGACACATGTCTGAACCCTGCTGGAGGACACATTTTCTTTATTAAGTTTTCTTGATTGTGCAAGCAGGTATACACACTGTTTAAAAATGAGGCATTTACTCAAACACAGATATTCATTAAATATAGCATTTGAAGTAATAAAAATGTTAGATTAAAAATAAATAAATCCATCAATTCTTTAGAAATATGTATATATACTCTTGGGAAAGGTATGAATGTGTGTGAGTGTACCCACTTATGTATCTATGTACATTAGTTCATAGCCTATGATGAAAAAAGCATTTCTTTTGCACAAATATTTTTCAACATCATTTTCTTTGTCAATGCACTTAACAAAATGCTTCTCCATTAATCCCCTACAGTGAACATTATACAATGACAATTTCAGATAAAAATTCAGCAAATACCTAGAGCAGGCTATGAACTTAATGATCAGCTGTCATATGTGAGGTGCTATCTAAAAGTTTGGTCAATTTAACCATGAGAGAAAAAACAAAATTAATCACCCTAACAATTAGTTTCCTTCAAAGTCATCCTTTACTACTATTTGCATATCAACTCACAAAAGCTAGTGGCAAAAATCCATACATTTAGTTTGCATACACTGTTCTAATTCTCCTTTTTTTTTTTTTTTAGGTATAAGGTGTAGATAGGCTTGCCTATCACTCAGTCCACGCTCCTCCCCAATCTTTTGAACTGGAATAGAAGTTTATTCCTTTTTTCTTATTTAGGATTGGGTTTCTAGTCCCCACTTCTAAAGTTTTCTCATTCACTTTCACTGCCAGTAACTCCTTGCATCTTAGTGACATTATCACCTTGCTTGAGGTGAAATGATTAAAACTAAAAACTCTTTATACATAGAATGCTCAAGAATTAACAACAACAGTATATATCTGGAAAACTGGAAATCAAAATGGCTACAATTGAAAGGAAAAAGAGAAAAGTTAAAAAAAAAACTAATAAGGAGTGAGAGTAAAGTGAAAAAAAAATCAAAGGACAAATAACCACAACATTCTATGTGTACAAACAGACAGGCACATATAAAATATATATAAGTGCATATTTTTCTTTAATAAGAATTCTCAAAAATTCAGGCCTGTAACAAATAAATATACTATTTAATAAATACAAGATGTGTCTATTCAAATATTGGTATCTACTAAAAGTAACATTTCAAGTGATAAAAACAATACTATATGTAGACTTTAGCATCAGTTAGCTTTGATCCAATGACAAGTCAAAATAATTGGAGATTGTGCCACATACACTTCAAGTAATCTGATGGTAAGACACAGACAGGTGTCATTAATGCTCAAATCATATCACCATAACCTCTGCCATTGCTTATAGTAACAGGTGTTCCCAAGACCTATACATTTTACTTACTATAGTGGTATCGATTTTATTGAAAGCTAAAAGTTTCTTTTTTATATTTTAGGTATATCTGATTTTACAAATACAAAGGTAACTACTCACAAAAGGTATCTGTACTGATAGACAGGTATATTTGGGATAATGCAACTAACTTGTCACAAATACTTTTGCCTAATACAAAGGAAGGTGCTGATAATCAAGGAGAGAGCACAATTTTTCTTAATATCTAATAAATGGGAGAGCGGGGAGGTTTTAATAAAAGTTGCACCTGAAAATCTTTTAAAAAGGTAAAAAAAAATACAAGTTTATTAAATGGAATGATCTTAAACTTGGTGAGCACAGAAAATTTCTTAAAAAAATAAACTAAAAAAATTGAATAAATGAACATCTCACAGTCTATTAGGTTGTTAAGAGTAACATAATTTCTGATGTGTGTATGGTGCATAACCATATACACACAAGCATTGCTTGTTTGGAGAGTTGTTATAAAACCTAACACATTCATCCTTGTCTATATGGTGAAATATATTATCTTATTATAAAACGCAGATTGTGTGTGTGTGTGTGTGTGCGCGTGTCTGTACGTTTATATATTGGATCGAATTTCCTACATTTTTCAACCGATTTCAACAAAACTTCACAGGACTGCGTAAAATTACCTTGCGGTGGTTCTGACAGCACCAAAAATTGGAAAAACACAATTGTTTTTGCACGAAATCAATTTGAAAACATGATAAAACATGATTCTGTTGCCAGAATGAAAGGGGGACAACTCATATCGAGTTATACTTATTATATAACCCAGGTTGTTTGTGTGTGTGTGTTCATTTATATATGGGATCGGATTTCCTACATTTTTCAACCGATTTCAACAAAAAATTTTTTTTTTGGCAGGTAGTGTTTCTTATTATCTTGCACACTTTTTTCTTTATTTTTACATTCAGAATGCTTTAAAAATTCCATTTACAAGACAACTGTTTATAATAAAATTCTATTCAATCGGTAGACTCATAACGATTGAAAACAATGTTTTTGTTTGAGTTTGGGTTTGACCAATTCATAAAAAAAAACCCAAAAAAACAAAAAAAAAAAAATAATTCAGACATGCGTGTCCATCAACCTTAAACAATAATCTTTGTCAATTTTATTTTTCAGTCTTTATGATGGTTGATACTTGATCTATCTCTTACTGTTGCAACGCCGGGCACTCCTGCTAGTATTTAATATTGTAATCATATTTATTAAGTTATAAAGCAACATGTTGAATAATTGGTTGACCCTATGACTACCATCATTGCTTATGTCAGACTACCACCACCTTTACTATCAACATCTTAATATGCATAGCAGAATTAGAGTAACAAGCAAATACTTTTGTGTTTATTTGGTTTAAATGAAAGAGTGATAAACTGAATGGTTGAATTGCTTTTAAAATATCATGTTGAGATTATACTGTAAGGGGATCACAAATATTTACAAAAATGTACAAAAAACAGTTTGAATTACAAACAATAGCTTGACTTACCTCGGAAAACTGTGATAAATATACTAAAATAGGATAGAACATAACACACTCGATTTATGCCTGGTTCTAGTTTCTTATAAATTTTGTGAGGCACTCGATAGTAAATAAGACATGGAGATAACAACACTGAAATACCTGCAAGTAAAAACATAGAAAATTAATTCAACAGAATAGGTTGAAAATATTAAATATTTACAAAGCAAAATCATTTTACAAATGGTAAGATTTTGTTAAGACTTGTACAGAGAAAATATTTTTATCTAATTAGAATGGGAAAAAATTCAGGTTCATTTTAGCTTTCCTTGTTTATTGGCACACCAACCTCTGTAGGTTGTGAGAAAATGAAATAAAATAATAAAGAATTAAAAAAAAAAATATATAAATAAATACATTTTCCCATGATGCTAGTGTTAAAAGAACCAGAAAGGGTTTTTGGTCATCTGCATAGTTTTATGACCCCACTTTCGGAAAGGACAATTCTTTTTTTTCCACTTTCCAGAAGTATAGCATTTGGTTGTGTTTTGCAGCTCCACTCATAAAGTAATTTTAACTTAGCACAAAGCTGACTTGAGCTCAACCATTTTTAACCATTCTTATCTTTACTTATCCTAAGCGATTTCTTGCCACTTATCAGGCAGTTCTTCAATATCTTTTGAGTAAAATTATGCAGGTTTGAATCTTGTTTTTGTCAGTGAAAGTTTTCCCCATTACAGTAACCGAAAAAGGTAATAATAAAGGCTAGGTAAATAAGGAGGGTGGGGTATGTAATGTCATGACATCATTGACCACCAGAAGTTTATTTTCTAATAAAGATAGTGCACATGCGGGAGGTACGAATCTGTAGATTAGAAACAGCCCCTCATATGTGCTAGAAGCTTTTAAATGATCTCCCAATTTTCTTTAGGTATCTCTAATGGGTCTCTGCCATGTTTGTCTGTTACAAGCTGTAAGACACTACAGGGTAGGATGGGCCAACTAAGTTCCAAAGTTCTTTCTGTGTTATTCTTGCTGTATGCAGTTTTGCACTGAGAACAACATTTTGCCCTTAATCCACTGTGTATGCTGCCACTGTCTTGTAAAACCTAAGACATGTTAATTTATTCTTAACTGGCACATATGATTTGTAGTTAGGATGATACATTTGTTGTTACAATTGGTTCCCAAAAATGAAAATTATTTATGACTCAATCTAACAGAACAACAGGATAAATCTTTTCAATGATAATACTATAAAAACTGAAAAAGTGGGTTTATATGTTATCAAACACAGTAATTACTAAATGTGCTGCAGGTTACTATATAGCTGTACTGAATCAATCAGCTGAGTAAGGATCATGTTGAATGGATGTGGTAGTCAACAGGTTGAGTGTTTGTGTGTATTTTAGGTGAAGGTGTGTGTTCAATATGTAAACAAAAACAAAAGCATACAAAAACTTGATTTTCTACTACAAATGTTTATTCTTTTTATCATGACTGTAGTGAAACAAAATTCTCAATATCTCTTGGGTATGCCAGTATTCCTTCTGGTCCAAGAGTTATGGCAAGTAAGTATAAGCATCATATTAATGACTGAGCTCGTCAGCCTTGCGCAGAGTTGGAACAACGAAAAGAAGGTTTCTACTTACTTTATTGTTGGAAGGTTTAAACATGGTTTTAAAATATGTTTTCTTTTTCTTGGTCCAAAAATTAGGGTTCAGTATAAGCATTGTGACAATGGTCAAGCTCTAGTCAGCCTTGCACAGAGTTAGAACAACCAAAGAAAAAGCTTGATTTACTTCATAGGTGGAGGTTTTGGAAGCCACATGCAAATGCTATGCATTGAAAAGTGGAAAGAGAGTCACTAATCAATGGAATAGGAAAAATAATGTTCTCAGCAGAAACATAATTACCAGGTGGTACTTTATCTTGGAGCAAAGAGGAGAAAGAGAGAGTGAAGCAGGAAATATTTGTCTTTTTATAGACTTCAAGAGCATCACCTAATTGTGTTTTTCAAAGCCAAGTGGGGTAATCATACTTCTGGTTTCTTCACCATGAAAAATGCATTTCTTTTTTTTATTATAATTGTGCTTGTCCTTCTCTTTGTTAGTTAGCACCACCATTATGTCCTGTCAATAGCTCATAATTAATGAACTATTCCATGTTTTAATTGCATGGAAAGAGGGGAAAAGACAATATTTGGTTTCAGAAAGAAAATGAAAGAAAGAAGGGAAGGTGTGAAGAGAGAGAATCAGATTAATGTGATAAGAACCAATACTACAGTTTGATCCCAACCAAAAGGCAGAGAAGCAATGGCGACTGTAATAAAAACGCCATTTTCCCCATGTACAGTATTCACAAACAATGGAAACTGAGTAAGGCAATTGCCAAAAATCCAATTACCATAAAAATATGGCGATTTTGCTATAAAGAAAGAAGGGAAAATAAAAGTGTTTAATGTCTCCTGCAAATACCTCATAAATAATGGACTATTCCATTTTGAAAAGACACTACTTGATTTCAGTGAGAAAATGAAAGAAAGCAAGATAAAAATGTTTAACGGTTATTTCAGTGAAATGGGAAAAGTTGTCAACTTCAAATCTTTTCATTTCTACCCACTTCTTAAAATAAAAACCAGCATTATTGTTATTGCAATATTTTGTTAAAGTTGTTAAGCTCAAATATTTAATGACATGATAGGGGAATTTCTATGGATGTTTTATTGTCATAGAACTCACCATGAATTTATTCACTCATTAATGTAAGAGTAAAAAAATTAAGATTCATCAGAAAATTTAAATAGGAAAACCGTGCAATTTTCAGTTCTTTCTAGTTATTAATATTTTATTTATCGATTTTATTTAATTTTCCCCAGATAGATTCAGAATGTATTTATAGCTTTTGGTTTTCTCTAATCATGCATATAATCAATTTTTCACTTATCCTGAAGAGAGCTTGCCTCAAAATGTATTAATCCTATAAAACACCAATGATTTCTATTAACTCATAAGTAGATGACAATCAATTAGAAATGTTCATAAGTTTTCTTGACATTTCTGCATGTCCAAGAGATTAAAAGACAGCTAAGCACAATTTTTTCTCCCATGTTTATTAAGCTTTCTGTCTGAATATCTAACATGAAGAGTTATCATCATTAACACTATATACATTCAGACTATTGTCCTCAACTTTGTTGTTGTTAATACATTGTTTCAGTTGTTGTGACTTCTGGCCTTCATCAGATGTATATCAATCTGGGTAACCTATGAGGAATTCTCAACTGAACCCTTTATTTACATTGTTTGGACTTCTGTACTCATCTTTATTGCCATATTCACAACGTTTCAGCCATAAAGGGTTCAGTTCAAAATTCCAATTACCTAAAGAAGGCCAAAGCATACAAATGTACAAAATGTTGTGAATATGGCAATAAAGATGAGGACAACAGTCCAAACAATGTAAATAATGTAAATAATTACAATATCTCATCTCAAAAACAAAGACAGATATTGAATGCTTTATTTAATCTACAAGGGTAAGAAATATGATTGATTTTTTTTTTTTTTACAATATTTTGTAGGTTATTTCAAAACTAGAAAATATTTTTAGATTGTAAGAGTGTTTGAGGGATAATAATGATACAAGTCCTACTAATTAAGCCATAGCTGGAAGGAGAAGAGGTGGATTTATACTTTTCCCAAAAGTATTGCACAAAAGTGAATATAACACACCCAACTGGAATTGGAACTCAACTCCTCCAATTTCCAATTCCAAGCTGTTATCTATTACACCACCCACACATCCAACCTTACAGAACCTGGTATTCCCAAGTAACCACCCATATAGATACTAAATAGGCTCAATGTTGTTTAACTTCAGTGATTGTATAGGAACAGGTATTTCAACATGATGTGGCCGTAAGCCAGTTAGAATATAAGAACTAGACAAGATATCCCTAGACAAGAGTAGTGGAATGAGAACCGTCTACCCCTATAGATTAAATAAAGGGTTCAGTTCAGAATTCCCAGTAGGTTACCTGCATCAGTATACACTTGATGAAGGCCGCAGGGCACAACAGCTGAAATGTTGTGATAACAATAAAGATGAGGACAATAGTCCGAATGCAAATAGTGTAAATAATTTATTAATCTTGTTGGTTCCAATTCTGGTTGGAATGATTGCAAAAGACTTTTCCCCTCCCCAATTTTTAGGCAGAAGCATACAAATGCATGATGAGATTTATTCCTAGCCAATAAGATATGCCACTTGTCGGTGTAATCCTACTCAGTCCTGATCTGTCTTGCCTTGAAGTCAGTACGCTGCATTCATTTATTAGAATTTGCTCTTGTGCGTCAACCTCAATGTTTAGTTTGTGAACATTTTGCCATATTACTTTTGCTTTGCCTTATTACTGTTAATTTGTCTTGCATATATTTTTTGCTTGCTTTGTATTATTTTTGTCCTGTTCTTTTTAATGATACACAGGGTCTTTTCATGCACAAACAAGGACTTTACCCTATTATACATCTGCCTTTTAATTGGTTGTGTTAAAAATTATCCTTTATGAAATAATACATATGTCTAATTTTGATGTGAAAATAAAAATCAAAAGCTTTCAGATTTAGAGTTTTTCTTATTTACACCATTTATATTTGGACTATTGTCTTCATCTTTATTGTGGTTATCACAGCATTTCGACTGTTGTGCCCCCTCAACCATCCTCAGGTGTATATCGATCTAAGTAACCTAAAGGGAATTCAGAACTGAACCCTTTATTTAATCTCTGGGGGTAGACTTAGAGTTTTTAATTTTGGTTTTAAAAAGTGCTTAGATATTTTTTTTTTTCAAATAGTTTAAATTACCATTAAAGCTAAAATTTGATTTGATTTGGCAGATTTGAAACATGGTAAACCATGAAAGTTACCAGACAATATAGCACAAGATTAAAGAGGTACGACTGTATTTTTACAATGGAATCACATTTCAAATTTAATAATTTTGTTATCTAAATACAGTTACTTACCAATTAAATATGAGACAACAATCCCTGGGATATAACAACCAACAATGGCAAAATTGAGGCATATGTACGTGTTAACAATGAAGAACTGAAACAATAAAAACAAACAGGTTAATATTTTTCAAAAACAATTAACCAAAAGGTATATTTTTAAATAATACCCGTTTTATATTGTTGATTTCCATTGATTTGTTTAATGACATATCAATTGCTTATGGGTCATTTAATACTGAAATTTAATTTTCTTTGGAGCTTTGAAGTAATAAAAATATGTTATTCTGCTTTCACAACTGAATACATGATAGGTGATACTCAGATTTTATGCATATACATGTTTATGTGGATATGATTACTAGAGGCAGTGATATATGTATTTTATGTTATAGTTTTGCTGAAGTTATATTTTGAAATACAGTTTGATTTCTTTAAGAAATTGTATGATTAATGTCAAGAAAGAGTTCTTTCATGTTGGTTGGTTGATTTTGTTTAGTGGCACATCTACTTCTATGGGTTATTTAATGCCGAAATATAAATATTTTGAATGCAATTGTATGCCTTCAACTAAATATACTTTGAACGCAATTGTACGCCTTCAACTAAATATACTTTGAACGCAATTGCATGCCTTCAACTACAGATAATTTTGTTTTAAAATGTATTGTTGATCGTTTTTTATATAAAAATATATTGCTGGTATTTTTACTATAAAAATGTATTTTTATAATTTCATAGTGTTTTGTTTCAGGGTTCACTATTTTCTCATAGCTGGGAGCCTAACAGGTGCTACCAGCCTGGGTCAAGGTTGACCTGGGAACAACAGCAATTAAGAGGTGGTTCCACCCTCCTCAAAACATCCAATTTCGCTGATCAAAGACCTTGCTGCCAGATGTAGTTTATTGTCATACTCATGACTGTTTTATATATATAAGTTCATGTAAAAGTTTCTATTGTCATCCTTTGCATATGTGTAAATATATATTATGTATATACAAGGTCAATGTAAAAGCTCCCAATGCTAGCTTTTGTACAATATTAGTGAAATCTTTGAAATTTCTATTGTCTATAACTTTAAAAAATCAGTAAGATGCCAGATTTTGTTTGAATAATTGAACTCCAAGATCTATTCTTTAATGGCACGGATATTCAGAAAACTAAAATGACTACTTGGTTACTTATTTTAGTGGATCATTTCACTTACAATTATTACCCTGCAAACAATAGTCAGTGCATTATTTAAACAAATGAACTATAAATAATCAACAGTATTTTTATTGCCATCTGTTTCTTATATTGTTGCCAAATGAAAAAAAAACTTATACTTAACAGCAGAAAGAAGCAGTTAAAATTCATGCAGAAAAATTCAGTGGTCACATTATGCATGACATTGGCTTATACTCAAAGATATATGGTATCCAATTTGAACAGCTTATCAAGGTATGTCAACATCTCCTTTTAACTGCAGATTAATTAGTCATAATGATTGATAGTTGATAATGTATATAACAGTCATTCTTGCTTTCACTAATCTAAGGAAAAGGCCACTTGTACTTAGGATCAGAAAGAGACAGTTAAATTTCTAAAACAAATAATGAGGAAAGGGGGCTTGGAGAATTTAACACCCACAGAATATAGTGAAGGCATCAGAGACAGACTGGAAACAATGAGTAATCTACTTAACAAGTAGATTAATTAATGTGTAAATAACAGATAAGGGGCTGGGTGGGACAGTAAGGGGACAAACATTGCTTACAGCTACAAAGGATAGGAAGCTGTGGTGAGCTATAGTCTCCAACATCCTGAAGGAACAAAACCCATAAAAGAAGCAGAGATAGTGTCAATTGCTCATTCCTCACTCTTATTTTTGTTTACAATTGTTGTACAGTGACAAGACCATGGTCAAGTTAATAAAGTAAAGTTCAAGCCTTCCTAAGTCAGATTGAATATTTACAAATATTTCATACTGTCTGGTGATACTCACTTGCAAAGGATGCTCTCTTCGAAAGAGGAGCCATTGCTGGAAAGATGAAGATAAAGAAGAAGAGAACTGTGAGGTCATGTGACACAGTTCAGGCACACTAAGCAAATGAAGGTGGACAGGAGTCCATCTGAAAAGAGAAACATGATTATTCACATACCAGGGATTTGCTTAAAAATGGTAAATACAAATTAATTTTGCAAAATAAACATTTCCCCTTAAATTCTAGGCTTAAAATTTAATTAAATATAAATCAGTTATCAATAAACCTGATCAAACACTTTGCAATAGAAAAATAAATATAAAGTCCTGTGGGATAGCCTCACTCCACTAGGTATGTCGTAGTCTCTGCAGCAAGTAGGTTTTTACATAGCTCTATGCTGAACTGGTTTTTGAATTTGGAGTTATTTTTCTAGACTAGTTGCCAACCAAGGCTAGAGAGGCCAGTCTGTTCTGCTATTAACCCTTAGCTGAGAGGAGAATGGATGGACTTAAACTTTCCAATGGTATTTGTATCTTTTTATGGTATCTGTCATAAGATTAAATCTTAAGGAAAAAAAGGTCAAAATAAATATCACTGTCCATCATCTATGACAATACAAAGAAGCTGCAAGGTGGCTAGGACTAAATATAAATCTGCAATGTTATCGATCCTGACCTGGCATCTCACCTTCAGTCACTTTCCCACTGCCATAATGTAGCTTCCCTGTGTGTTTTCTATAAATATTTTCATGGTAACATTTCTTATGAGTTTTCCTCTTTGGTACCTAGACTTTATGAATTTAAATGCAGTACTAGATTGGCAGCAAGGTCTCATTTTGCAATTGAAATGGCTAAATGAAACCATAAGTTTTATGCCAGCAGTTTCTTCTCTTGCACTTCTCACTCGTGGAATTCTCTTCTGGCTTCTTGTTTTTCAGCCATCTTTGAATGTCTACTACTAGTAAATATTAATTTCCCATCTAATACTAGTAAATATTAATTTCCCATCTAATACTAGTAAATATTAATTTATAATCTTAAGAAGAGTTATAGTTGAATTATTTTTATTTCTATCAAGTATATTTATCATTTTTATCATTTTAAATAAATAGGTCATTCTTCCGTCGCTCCTCTCTATCTTTTTTTACAAATACTTTCATGGTAACTGCTCTGATGAGCTGCTTTCGCTGGTTCCCAGACTTCATGAATTTAAGCGTTCTATTAGGCTGGCATCTCGCTCTCACCCCTTCAATGTCAAAACTGTTAAATGTAGCCATTTCTTCTACTCCAATAGCTTCATGTCTCGCACTTCTCACCTATGGAACTCCCTTCCCTTTTCCTGTTTCTCTGATAGCTATAATTTACAACTATTCAAATGTAATGTCAATCGACATCTCCAGATGCCTTCATCTATCCCCTATCCTTCTTTCCTTCCTTCCTCTATCACTCCATCTATCTGTAACCCCCTGCGTGCTAGTGGCTTCCCACCTTGCTTGGGGTGAAACACTTAGAGAAAAAAAAAAAAAATTGTGTTTACTTACCAATTTTATAATTTTTAAATTAATTCCAAATACCTATTTTTACTATTATTTTAATTTCAATCTTTTATAATTTTTTTTATTTATACAATTTATCTTTTTTATTTTTCTATTTATATTTTAAATCTTTTGTTTTTTTTTTATCATTTCACCCCAAGCAAGATGATAATGCCACTATGACACAGGGGGTTAAAGGGAGTAAAAGAGAATGAGAAGACTTTAGTGAGGAGAAGTGAGGAAAAGAACAATAAAGGAATAGGATTCAGGAAGACATGTCAATTGATGTTGTATTTAAATTTGTTAAAATTGTAGGTGGCAAGGAAGCAAGAAATTGGGAGTTCCACAGGTGAGAAGTGCAAAAAAAGAAACTATTAGAATAGAACATACAAATGTATCTAGCTAGTTCAACAATAAAACTGAATCCTAATTGCTAATCTAGTCGCATGCTTAAATTTATGCAGGAAAGCTAATCAGATAAATTGCCATGAAAATTTTTTTTAGAAATGACAGGAGGGAAGCCATATCACATTAGAAAAGTAACTAAAACAGGTTGGGATCAATAACATTACAGATGATTCTTTGAATTTTGTCAAAAATCTCAAGATATATTGTAGGAGCTGCAGACCAGATATACCAGCAATAGTCAATGCACGGATAAATGGTAGATTTATAAATGTGCAAGATGGATTCTGATGAAAAAGATTTTCTGATACCAGCTTTGCTAACAGTAGACCTAGCAATTGATTCAATACAGTCACTCCATTTCATGTCAGTGAAAAACATGAGCCCAAGAAGGCAAACAGTTTGGCTCTCCTGGAGTTTAGCATCAGTCATGCTAATGGCAAACAGAAAAGGTGATTAAATGAAAGTTTTGTTTTGGAGGTGTTAAAATTTACAATCCATTCCTTGCTCCAGTAAACCACAATTTAGTAGCCCTTTTCAAGAGCAGTTGCGAGTTTTCCTTTGTCAGACTTACTATTAAGACAGGAGTAAATAGCTATGGAAAGTGAAGACATCAGGAAGCTTGTTGAAGAAGATAAGAAACAATTTAGGCACAAGATAGAGCTCTGGGGAATCCCTGCATTAATGTGAAATGATCTAGAAGCCTTTCTATTCAACATGACCTTCATTACACGATTTGTTAGGAATGTCTATAGATTTTTAATTTCTATTTCAATATAAATAATGACTTATTTTCTAATAATTTTTTTACTGAATTTATTTCTTATTTTTTTATCATATCTCCAAGGAGTTATTCTATGTATGACCATTGCGTAAACCATATGGATGAGTAACCCTTTCTCCTAAAAAAAGCAAAAACTCACATTCTAGTTCAGAGTTGTTGACTTTTCAGTATACCAAAATTGTTTCTCTTCCTCTTGGTCACTGAAACTAAGTGACCTTTTCATTTTGTCCAAATCTACGTTAATTTTAAACATTGTGGACTGGTGCTACAGAATCCTAAACAAAGAACTGTTCCAAATAACAAAAACATCACTTGTGGACTTTTAACAACAGCAACAGCTAAAATGGATATCACATGTAACTTGAAGAGAAATTAGTGACATAATCAATATGGTGATATTCCACACTACTTGAAATCAAAGGTTAGGAAGGAAACCGCCTCAGTACTGAAAAGAGTGATAATAGCTACTGGACTTGAGAAACCTATTTTCCTGAAAAATTGTTTTAAGAAAAAGATTTTATAAATTTCAACCAACAGTAGTACTAGCTGCACAGTCAATGAAGGCCAAATATTTCCTTATAAGGAAATGGCTAATATCAACATTACTATTTTTGCTTATTCCTTGTGTGCACTTGTTGAAACACTCAATGTAAAAATATAGATAGGAGGTAAGATTTGGTTTCTTTTCCTATTTAAGTATAGAAAGAAAAAATAGATATTGTTTCTTAGTTTTGTTGCAGCAAACCTTCTCAGCTATTTAGCTGACCTTTAATTAGATGTTATATCCAAGTTCCAAATGTTATTTCATATTTTAGTCTAATGTTGTATTATAGCAGTAATTTCTTCATTCAACATAAATATTCTCTGTTAAAGAATACAAATGACCTTTAGCTATGGCATTCTATACTATAGGCTTACTCATGGTGCAAGTAAGAACCAGAATTGGAGGCCTATTTCAAAAGCTCCTTGTTTCACTAAGAGTGTCTCATTTTAGTTTGGGTTTGCAGTAGTTTGATGCAGTAGTTAGCTTAACAAATTAAAAGAAATGTGTACTTTTAAACTTGAAATAGCTTATTTAATAGAAAATTTATTTACTTTATTCTCTTTGAACTTGTTATATTATTTTATGTTTATTGCAAAAAAACAAATTCCCTATATACAAAGAAAAACAAACTCATAAAATAAATATAATTTAGTAATCTTGGTCTTGTCACTTGGAAGATTATTTAACCTTTATCACTCTGTATGACTATTTGCTATACAAATAGTTTATCTTGTCACTGAAACTGACTGATCCCTGAATAATAGTGTTTGAATTTCACAGTTGTGTTGTCACATCCTACTATGGCAACAAAACAACTTTGAGTGAAATTAACAATAAGGATACTGCAATTGAGAAGCCTTGAAAAAGAATGCAGTGGAAAAGGAAGTAATATTAATAATACAGAATTCTAAAGGTTAATATTTTTTACTAAAGTTAATTTAAAAATTTTGCTTAAAGTTAATTTAATATTCTCCTTTGTTACATTTTTATTCATCAATGCAAATGCACTAATGATAAACATTAATTCTTTGTGTAATCCATATTTCTGGTTTGGTTTGGTTTGGTTTGGTTTGGTTTGTTTTACGGCATATCAGCCTCAATGGGTTATTTAATGCCGACAAGATTTTTATTGCTGGTAATATTTTTTTTAAAAATGTATAGCTGGTAATAATGTATAGCTGGTAATAATTTTTTTACAAAGTATTTCTGGTATTAAAACCTATTTTTACACTTTCATAGTGAATGTAATCCTAGTTTTGGGGGGTTAACTATTTACCCATAGCAGGGACCCTAACAGGTGCTACCACCCCAGGTCAGGGTGGACCTGGGAACACCAACAATTAAGAGGTGGTTCCACGCTCTTCAAAACCTCCTGATCAGAGGCCTTGCTGTTGGACGTAGTTTATCATCTTCCCCAGGACACAGATGTAGTTTGTCATACCTAGAACAGCTGTATTTCTGTTTCTAACAGGTCGAAAAGTATGTTGAATTTTTACCACAGTTATTATACTGTAATGTAAATATTTACACCACAAAATTAAAGAAAAAAAATTTGAAAATCTAGACAAGGCCATATGTTGTAAGCCTTGAAAAATGAGTAATTTTACATGATTTAAAAAAATAATTTATTAATCTGATTTTTTCTAATCTTTTCTTTTTACTGTTACAAATACTCCCTCAAAAAATGTTAATCTTTGGTTAAGCTTAATTTCTTCTAAAAACTTTTTACCTCAATTCTGTTTTTACATTGCAAAATTTATTTGTCACATGAAGTTAATATTTTTCTTTATGATAGTTATCCATAACAACAAATATATTTATAAAACTTTTTTCATGTGTAATTTGTGTTTTTCTTTCTAAAATGTATTTAAAAATGTATGTTGAATTTTAGTCTACCATTAAAAAACATAAAATAGAAGCAAGTGTAATATTTTTATACTAAAAAAAATTCTGAAAATTAAGAAATGTTGTTTAATTTTAACTTTTCTCCCCAAACTTCTGCAATTCAAACATTCTGAAATGGGTCTCCAGTTCTAGCCCTTAATTGTACCATGAGTATGCCTGTAGTATAGAACACCATGCCACTAACAGAAAAATATATCTGCTCTGTATTGAATTACTTTCACTCTGCCTACTGTTTATATGTGACCTTCTTACTGTTGATGAGACCAATCAAAACAACATCTTAATAATATAAATATTTACATTGTTCAGTATGCTTCCTGGTCTTCTAACTGAGCAATATTGTAATGAAATATAAGAGACTCTTTGATAAAATAGGTACACCTCAATATTAACATGTGAAAATTAAAAAGTCTTAAAAAAATTTTTTATTTTAATTTTTCTGATGTAAATATACAGCAAAAATTAGTGTAAAAATATCTACAAAAATTAAAGAAATAGTTATTTATTTGTGAAACATTAACACTTTAAAAAGTTAAACATTTTACCTTTTAAGTTTTTATTAAAAACCTATTTTGAGGAAAAATAATTTTAATTAAATTTTTACATGCAGATTTAAAAGAAAAATGTTTGAATGACATACGCATCGGAGTCATCAGCTGTGGCATGACGTCGAACTGAAAAAAAAACAAAATACAAATTGATAAGTTTTTAGGTAAAAGTCTTTAGGTCTTGAGAAAGTCATGATATTTTGCAAACTGAGTTAAGCCTTTAAACTTTAATTTCAAGGCTTAAAACCATAAGTATAAGGCACCCAATGACTGATTGGTTTTAACAGCATGTCAACCCGTCAGGATTATTTTATGCCACAAGGTAAATTGTAGGGGGTGGTCAAATTTGTTATCTTTTTTCGAGGATTTTTCTTTATTTTGACATTAAGTTGTATGCAGTTGTTTGTTGCTGGGAATCGCTTTAAGGGATAAGTTTTTAGGGCAAAGTTTGAGTTTATTGTTATACTTTTTGGTATAATTTTATTTCTTTCAGGAAAGACAAAATGTCATCTATACTGACATTTTTGAATATATCTCATGTTGTGTTGTAAAAGCGTTGTCTGATAATGGCAAAATCACCAAAGTCTATTAGAATGCATTTAACAGTAGAGGGTGTTTGAAATGCTATGCATTCTGGCTGGTTTTCTTGTTTAATTAAAAAGGAGTGTCTTAGTTTTGTGTGACCAATATGTAGTCAGGATATAATGACTTGTTCCTTTCTGAAGCCTGATTTCCATTCTCCTATATTGGGTTTTATTGAGATGAGTTTGTTATGTATGTTAGGCACTCAATGAGGATTGACATCTTGTCATACTAACTTGCAAAGCTTTCACTACACATTAAAAACATCATGGAGTTCAAAATCAATTGTGGCATGGAGTTGTAAACTATGATCTTAACCAAGATAAAAAAAAATAAAAGCTTAGTTTAGTACAGTTTAAAAGCACAAGTATAAGACACCCAATGAAGATTGACCTTTGGTTATACTTGCTTGCAAAGCATCTATTTCAGCAAGTCTTTCACCACAGATCAGTTGTAATAATTACACAAGGTTCTAATTTGTGATATTACATTATACAAATGTCAATCGGGATGAATATAGACAATAATCTAAAAAAAATTAAACAAAAGTCCTTTTGCTGGACAAGTAAATTAGCCAGTGATTTTTGTGCATCCCTTGTTTTACAAATGTGATACAGCAAATGTTCATGGAACTGGGATGGGAAGTTCTTCTGCATGCAGTCTATTCTCAGAGTATCACTTGTTTTACTCCATAAAACACTACTTGTTTAGTTAATGGTTCTAACAAATTTAATGTGTCAAAAAATTCTTCAGATAATTAATTGATCAAAAACAAGAATCATTCTTTTATATATGGATGCTAAAAGGTTCTTGGCCCAATCAAGGCAGCCTTCTCCAAAATTCTAATGTTTGGTCATTTGGGCAGATTTTGGAAAAGAGATCAGACCAAGAACTTTTCAGAAATCATCATCATCATCATATATATATATATATATATATATATATATATATATATATACTTATTATAAAAGCCAGGTTGTGTGTGTGTGTGTGTGTGTGTCTGTTCATTTATATATTGGATTGGATTTCCTACATTTTTCAACTGATTTCAATAAAACTTCACAGGACTACGTAAAATTACCTTGCGGTGGTTCTGACAGCGCCAAAAATTAAAAAACACAATTGTTTTTGCATGAAATCAATTTGAAAACATGATGAAGAGGCATCGCTGTCACAAGAATGAAAGGGAGACAACTCATATTGAGTTATACTTATAAAACCCAGGTTGTGTGTGTGTGTGTGTGTGTGTGTGTGTGTGTGTGTGTGTGTGTGTGTTTATATATGGGATCGGATTTCCTACATTTTTCAACTGATTTCAACAAAATTTCACTTTTTTTTTGGCAGGTAGTGTTTCTTATTGTCTTGCACATTTTTTTCTTTATTTTTACATTCAGAATGCTTTAAAAATTCCATTTACAAGACAATTGTTTATAATAAAATTCTATTCAATCGGTAGACTCATAACGATTGAAAACAATATTTTTCTTTGAGTTTGGGTTTGACCAATTCGTAAAAAAAAACAAAACAAAACAAAAAAAAACTAATTAAGACATGCGTGTCCGTCAACCTTAAACAATAATCTTTGTCAATTTTATTTTTCAGTCTTTATGATGGTCGATACTTGATCTATCTCTTACTGTTACATCCCTGGGCAACGCCGGGATCTACTGCTAGTCCTTTATATAATGAAATTTGCAATTTAACTAAAAGTTGACATAGGGTCATAGAAAGTTAAGCACTGAATAATAATGCAGTTAATTTATATTTGGGGTGGGTGAGAAAAATTTTGCATCAATTATACAAAAGATATAAATTATGTATACTATTATTCAGTCCCCCACCTTTTTTCTTTTTTTTAAAATGTACAATAACTACATTTTTTTTTTTACCTTTGATCAGAATGTAATACTTGCCTGATTTTCAGTCTTTCTAAATTAGAATAAGTTATGCTTTCTGTCTGAGAAACTTTTTTTTTTTTTTTAAATCAATTCACCTCAAGCAAAATAATAATGCCACTGAGATGCAAGCGGCTACTGGGAGTGAAAGAGAATAAGAAAATTTTAGAAGGAACCAGAAAACCAATTCTAAACAATGAACAAAGGATAAATCTCTGTTCCTGTTCAAAAGACAAATATATTAATGAGAAAGTAGAATATAGAAAGGGAAAGGATAAACAAAAAAGCAAATCTTTGCCAATCTAAAATACACAAGACATATCAGATTAGATTCAAATTGAAAGAATCTTTGATTCAGAATGCAAAATTAATATTAGCATCTTAACCAAAGTACTACTTCTATAATTTTTTGATAAACAGTTAATGAAGCATTTTCATTTATCAGGAACTCTTAGAACAGGGGAAGACAGTTACAGTAGACCCTTATGAGAATGAATCCTGTGGGTATTCAAAAGAAATTTCTTTTGTCAAATCTAATAAACTAACACTACAGAATCACGAACAAAAAACTTCACCAAATAATAGAATCCACATCACTTAAGGACTACCAACAGCAGCAACAACTAAAATGCATAACACATGTAACGGTAAGAGAAAATAATGACATCAAGATATTGACTTTCAACACTGTCTTAACCCTCATTTTCATTACCATATTCACAATGTTTCAGCTGTTGTATGCCTTGGCCTTCTTCAGGTGATTGGAATTTCAAACCGAACCCTTTATTTCGTTCACTGGAGTAGATTGTTCTAGTTCCATGTGCCATGCCCCTTCCAGGCATCTCAGTTATTTCCCTTTAACTCAACTTCAAGTTTTTTGGTTCACCACTGCTGTAGACTGGTACTGAATTCACAACTCTTTGGGTCTAGTCACTGGATCTAACATGTTTATCCACTGGGCCATGTGTCCTTGAGGCATAGCACATGGAACTAGAACAATCTACCTCAGTGGACGAAATAAAGGGTTTGGTTCAAAATTCCAATCACCTGAAGGAGGCCGGAGCATACAACAGCCGAAACGTTGTAAATATGGCAATGAAGATGAGGATAATAGTCCAAATAATGTAAATAATCATAATACCTCATCTCAGAGATATAGACAAACTGTCTTAACCCTTTAGCATTCAACCCAACCCTGTGAATATAAACTCTCAATATTCAACCCACTGTAACCCACCCCATGTATACTTTGCCATAATATATGATGACATCATTGCAAATAAAGGAAGTCACACAAACAGTGAGACTTTGAGAACCAATATTAACAGGGTGGGTTTGAGCCTGAAGTGTTAAACAAAATGTTGGGCAAAAAAACTATGATCAATATTAGAAAGAGCAATTTCAGCTAACAGTAATGTTAACTGTTTGATCAATGAATGTCTAATGTTTCCTATATGGAAATGGCTAATCTCATCATTATCATTAATTATCAACAACTAGAATGAATGAAATGAAAGTATGGTTACCACTAACCCAGAAGATCTTACTATACCACCAAATTTTGTTGGTTTTCCATCACAGTATGAGAATGCCAAATTAAAATGCAGCCTCAACATATATTTTCATATTCACAGTTTTAATTTTAAAATGGATTTTTTAATCGAACATTACTTCTTATCCTATTATAATTGTGTTTGTCCCTCCTTTTGTTAGTTTGCACGACCGTTACACCCTGCCAATACCTCATAAATAATGGACTATTCCATTCTGATCACATGGAAAGAGGGGAAAAGACACTACTTGGTTTCAATGAGAAAATGAAAGAAAGAAGGAAAGGTAGAAGGTGAGAGAGAAAATCAGATTAAGCTGATAAGAACAGATACCACATTTTGATCTTAGACAAAAGGCTAACTTTATTTCTGTATTTGAAACAAAGTAATTTTTGAATAATTAATGGATTTCTTTAATTCAGCATTATTTCTTATCCTATTATACACATCACCATTAAACCATGCCAATTCCCCATAAATAATGGATTATTCCGTTTTGACTGCAAACACGGAAATGATATATCAGAGATGCTATTTGGTTTCAGTGAAAAACATTAAAGAAAAAAGGAAGGAAAGGAAGATAGAATGGCTGTTTCAGTGAAATGAAAAAGTTGTCAATTTAAAATATTTTCATTTGTACCCCCTTACTTCTTAAAATAATGACCAGCATTTATATTTATGATTGTTATTGCAATATTATGTTAAAGTTGTTAAGCTCAAATATTTAATGATGTGATAGGGGAATTTTTATGGATATTTTATTGTTGTAGAACTCTATGAGCTTATTCAATCATTAACTTAAAAATCAAAATTCATCAGATTATTAAAATAGGAAAACTGAAATTTTCATGGGTCTTTCTAGTAGATGTAATTTCTATTGGGCATATTTGTTTGAACTGACATCCCCTTTTTTCAGTGTTTAAAAAATAAACTAAAGAGATGTTAACTCAAACATTTGTACCCACTAGAAATGATGTTTATAGTAATAAGAAATTCACAAATTCCCTGTCAGTGTTTATGTTATATACCGTACCTATGAACATTAATGGGTATGACACAATCCTCATAAATATGTTGGACACTATTGTAAGTGGGGGAT